ACAAACCTTTGGAAATACAGCCGTAAATTTTCAGCTTTTTATAAGCAAAAATTCTGAGAATCATCGAATTCAGATGTCAATTGTCTTCTGCTAGGGTGTTTCAGGCTAGAATCAAAATTTTTCGGAGCTTGTAGGAGCTACTAATCAACGATTTTAATGATAAAGGTATGTAGTATGCAACTATTCATGTGTAAACAGCCCAGCATCGCTTTGCAAAATTATAAGGATTTTCGTTTTTTACGCAAAGCGATGAGAAATTTGTAGGTTTTCAAGCGATTACATCTTCTCAGTTTTTGGAGGGTCAAGAACTTCTTAGATTTTGGTTTCAAACTTGGAATAGGTCGAAACTATGAATTTTTGAATGCCGTTTTTTGGAGCATGCCGAGTTTGAAATGTGAAGTTTCAGAACGAAATACAATAAGTGCTTAACCTGCCGAAAAAATCAAAGCTAAACCAAACTTGTTGCGGATTGGGGTCCCCCGCTCCAGACGTCAGTAGTGACGTGCTCTCCTGCATCGGCGACAGGAGCGGACGACGCTATCCGTGAAATAGAACAACGACACATGAGGAAAAGGTAGCTAGTCTGCGCCATGCTATTATGGCCTGCCACAAGCACAACGCACACGAATTAGAGGCCCTAAGCTACCAACCAACTCCCCAATGCTGACTGCCTGCCATCTCGAGCCATTCACTCATGAACACTTGCGTCTACTTGCAACTTGGGGCACTAGCTAGCTTCGTGCCTGGTCTTCCGACCATAGATGCGATAGGTGGAGAAATTTCTCTGACCCCCTTTACTTTAGAGCCGGCATCTCGCTGACCCCTTCCACCTGAGGTTGAGACCTGAATCAAGGCATAACGGCAGAATCAAACAGCTGTTACAACGGCACTTTTTGTCAGCATTTTGTTGAAGAAAAAAACGCATACTTTAGATCTCTTGCGCACTCAAAGTGGCCTTGATAACGAAACATAATCAAAAATTCAAAAAATGTCTAATTCTTTGAATAATTAACATTGTATCAATGAATGCACGCTGTCGTAAGAAAGAGTGGAGCAAGAGTATAAAATCTGGACTAGCTAGTGATGGATACATGTTTACTGACAAGAATCGTACCATATCTCCTTTCAAAGAGAGAATAATAACAAATAAGAGAGCAGTTAGATTACTCGTTTCTCAAGCTTTCGAATCAAATATATACATAAAAGAATATATAAAAGTTCGAAAAAAAACATTCTTGGTTTGAAAAGATGATTATCCAGAATTGACTGATATTGTAGCTAGATAAAACTGCTCGTATCTCGCTTCACAGAAAAGCTATGAAAAAAGACAGTCTATGTCAATTTCTTGTTTTCTTAGCTATCGAATGGTGTATAAAGTGTTGGTGTACAAAGCTTTCCCAGACCCCAAAAAAGTCTTGCTCCGGCTACCCATAGAAAGCCGGAGTAGGGTAGTGCAAGTTAGTATTGAATATCTCCACCTCGATTTTGAAAAACCACGAGTTTTTTCACCCAACAACCTTTATACCATTAGAAAGCTCACGAAACAAGGATTCGACGTAGACCGTCTCTTTTTCTCTAGCTCCCCTCTACTCAGAGATACATGGTATTTTATCTATAAACATGTGTGTTTTTGTCAAGAAATTCCTGCGTGAAAAATGAATGAGGGTGCCTGATTTTCTAACAGTAGCACAGAGCAAGACCTTGCCAGTAAACGTAGTCCGTCTCTTTTTTTTCTAGCTCTCCTCTTTCTCTCAGAAATGGAGCGTAAACTGATTGCATGAAATCAGTTGTTGCTGAAGCTAGATATGAATTCTTACATGTGTATTCACAAGAGAGCTGGAAAAAAAGACGGTCTACGTCGATTCTATATGTCTCAAGCTTTCGAATGGTATGTCGACTGATGAAACACAAAGCTTTTCCGAGTCAAAAACGTCTCTGTTGACCTTCAAAAGCCTAAGCATTGAGAGAATCTTCATTTTACTCCTCTATACCGCATTTTCCTTCTTTTCACTCCCGCTCCCGTTAGACATGTAAGCTTGGTCAGCACTCATCTCAGATTCAATTACCTCCTTCACTTTTCTGAGTCAAAAATAGCCAAAACCCCCTTCACCTGGAGAGGACCCTGCTCCCCCTATCGCACCTATACTTCCGACGGAATCCAAGACATGAGTATACAAGAAACACAACAGCATACAGATATAACTCTGCCAAGTTCTGAGCCTATGGCTACCACAAAGTCATAACACCACACTTCAGTGCTCATCACTTATCCCTAATTGAACCGACACACAAGCAAGTCAGCACAATGGGCAGAGCACACACCGGCCAAAGATCTCACCTAGGGGTTGGTAAAAAGACCCCCCCCCCCGCGAAATGGCTCCTCAGCCCTGCGGCAAGCAAGGAGCACACAGCAAGGTTACCTCGGTGCAGGTGTCAGTCCTCCTAGCGTGCAGGCGTTGAACACCGCTGGATCGAAAAATGCGCTGCTTGATCGATTAAAAGACAGTTGAGGTAGTCGACCGCTCGCTGCTGGACAAGTGTGGGAGAATGCGTGACTTACGCGAAGTTGGACGTGGGAACGAAAGGCGGGGCAGCGCAAGGACTGACATTTTAGGACCCATAGCTTTGCGGTGGCAAACTCCCTATGAGGAAGTCGCGCAATCCGCGCACTCCGGGCGGCGGATAAAGGTTCCGAGGTAGGCTCCTGTTTACCACCTTACCTAAAAGTAACCTAGTACGCGCGCTGGCCTACCGCGTATCGTAGTGACAACCGGTTGTCTCACGGGATAGCATGAAGAGTGGGGCTCTACGTCGGGACTTCTGGTGGGTCTTTCGGCAGTTGAGGAGGCGACACTTGTGCTGAAGACGATCGGAATCGGCAACGTTGACGAAAGTTGCGGTATCGGCATTTGATCATTCGAAAATGACTTGACGTTGAAGTGATCTTCTTGATGACGTGACGTACAGCGGCTTGACATAGACTGAACAGCAGGTGACGACGATTCAAAAGTTTTATTAGGTTGATGCAAAAGAAATGACCGATTTTCCAAGCCTTTTTTCAGGGCAACTTTTTTCCATCAATACTTCTTCTTTACAGCGGATGTAGTATATTGCCGCGAAGCTGTATTCATGCTCTATCTAACGATGCTTAAAACGGGCTCTCATCCTTATCTCTTATAAATTTACTGAGCTTCAAATAACTGCATCCAAATTCAAAATTTCATTGCATTCACTTTTCCGGCCAGAATTCAAGCGCGTATTGATGGGATTTCTTCGAAAATTTAGCTATTGTATGTAATAGAAATTCTCTACATTATGCATACTTAACTGTATTTTTTGAAGTTATCCAGACTGAGATATCGGCGCCTAAACATGGGTAGCTATTGCGGTCATTTTATGACCCATAATTTTCTTCTGAGGAAGTCAGTCGCCGAAGCTTTGCTCAATTCTGTAAGCGTAGAGCTAGGACATTTTTTTAGCAGTTTTTGCAAAAACGTCCGGCTGTTCAGTATGTAAAAAATCAGAAAATTCTATATTCCGGACTTTGAGGCACACTAAAGAAAACTGAGAAAATTTAAGTTTCAATTTTTTCTTTCTCGCAAACTTTTTGTCCGAACTTTTTTCTTGTATTTTGTACTACTGGCTTGCGGCTACAAGATAGGTCACTTATCATTCATACTAAGAAATTTTGAAGGGAGTTACGAATTGTCAAAGACAAGGTTCCCGCAGAAGGACCTTTTTTGTCTTCTAGTCCGTATTTCTCTTCCCGTTTATGGTTTGAGTATAAATAAGTATGCGCTGTATTGCGAAAAGTTTGCTGCTTCTGTTTGTCTTTACCACATTCAGAAATGTGGATCTTTTAGAAAGTAATAGCACATAAAAGTGAAAATTCGCAAATCGGCCATTCCTTTTACATCAACCTAAAAATTTAGCCTACGGGCGTGGTTTTCACTTGAAGGGGGAAGAATTTAGACAGTGTGGGGGAGATTTTCCTCACAACTCTAAAGAACCCTGGGGTCAAGTCAAACTCAAAAGAAAGGGGAATCCTAAAAGGCAAAAACAGTCAACACGGTCCCACCGTGGCTCCACAAATCGTCAGTTGTGGATCAACGCAATATGTGGCCATTGAAGCTAGCCTAAATTAAGGATAGCGACAAAAAGGTGGCGAAATTAAGGCTCGCCAAAAAACAGAAAACAGAAAACGAAACATTAGAACAAAGGGTATAAACGGGGATAAACTAAAAAACCGTAAATTGTGGGCAAGCCCTTGACAAGTTCATGTGGCAAACAATCAAAAACCATGGCACTCTCCATGAGTGCCTCACCACTCAACCTAAAATAAAGTTGACGACAAAATAAAGAGTGAGCTTAAGGCTCACTAAAAAATTGTAAGTTGTGGAACGAAAGTAACATAGGGCAAATAACTTACAGCAAAAACAAACTTACCTGCGGGGCTTTTTAGGCCCCTGTCCTTTCTACAACGTAGGTCTGCCAAAGTCTTATATTGCTCTAAGCGCAGACGATAGTCCTCTGGATCGATGTCGTTGATCCCATGGCGGTTGTTGAAGCAGAAAGATGTCTGGTGGTGCTTGGACCTACACATCCTTTGCATCTCCTTCCGCGGAAAGGACATTCTTCCTCAGCGTGTCGGTCACAACAGAGAAAACACCCACAGCGCCTTGCGTTGATTTCCATCTTCTGCGATAGATGTCGATACACCGGGCAGCTCGACGAGAAGTGACGTAGTCTGCAAAAGTAGCAGCGGGTGAGAGTCTCTTCTGGTTGCTGACCTCTACGCTGGCTCTCAGGCTCACAATAGCCCACTTCGACTGGGACCACTTCCAAAAGTTGCTCCTGACGCTCCCGTAGAATGGGCTGTAGAGCCCCATCCTGGGGAGAGGTGGCGGGCTGTCGGGGAGGAGGAGGAGGTGGTGCTGATGACGCTGCCGAATTCTCCCGATTGGCGAAACTTTTAAGTTCCGGGTCGAAGTGCGCTGTAGATGCTGGTGGCAGTTAAGCTGTCTCATCAAGTGACTGTTGAAAACTCAATTGCTGTGGATTCGACGTCGATTGAGGCTCAGCCTGAGGTAGTTTCGCCTTAGCCTTCGACGGCGGTGGCGCAGCAATGGTGCTGAACCACTTCCTGTGTGCTGTCGCACCGATCTGTCCTGGCCAATATTCCTCGTCATCAGATGTTCTTTCAGGACGTCGTGATAGGTGTCGTGGGTCTTCACCATTTGGGCTACGGCTGCGCCTGCGGCATAGTTGTTGGCAACGATCTTTTCCAACGTTACGCCGTGAGTGGCCAACAAGTTCAGCTTACGCTGGAGCTCATCAATCGGCGTAAGCAGAATCGCTGGAAGCTGTGTTGAAATCGCCTGGCGTCTATAATTGATGTTATGAATATAATGAAAAGATCAGCCATGCGATCCAACAAAGCGTCGGGATTCGGCTGCGGCCTGTGAGCTAACTCCTGTAAGTAACTTGTGGCTTGCGCAGTGAGTAGAGTCCATTCAGATGTCCTGAGATCAGTAGAGCAGGCAGATGTCGGCTTTGGCGCCTTGAAGATCCTCCGACTTCGTTGGATATACCTCGTTGGTGAATATGCTTCGAATATGCCCAAGGAGGTCGTCGTGAAGGAAGGCGTCAATGGCGACTAAGTCGCTGTGGCCCAGCTGCGTGGGACTGAACACGCGTGCTGGGGAGAGAGCTACTGTTAGCTTATGGAGTAGCTGCAGTGCTGGTCTATACGTCTTTGGTACCGCGAAGGCTCGAGTATCGTTGTCCTCGTCACAGCTGACGCCTGTTGACGTTGTATCCCTTCGCAATTCCTAAAATTAGCTCGGGCACTGTGGCTGCGCGAGTGTGGGGATCGCTGATGTTTGGCAACGAATCCTGCGAAAAGTCAGCTGGAGGCAGTACCTCTGGGGGACGTGACGGCTCCTGAGCTCGCACAGCTGCAAGCTCACGAATCACTTCAACCAGTAGTGAAGGGTCCACTGAGCTTTCGCTCGGCTTCGTTTTCTCATCCGGCTCTCTATGTGGCGACTGCAACGCCGACCGCGATCCTGAACGACGTTCTTGTCCGCGATGTTGTAGCGGACTTTCGGACTTCCTCACCGGCTCGCCTCGCCTAGTCTTAGTTCTCCAGATAGTCATCGCTGTAGATGGTCAGCTACTCGTTATCGCTTTACCCTGAAAGAATGAGAAAATGATGGGAGTAAGAGAGCACATCGTACGTAGGCACAACGAACTCACTTAAGGTTAGTAAGGAGAATAACAAATAAAGAGGATGAGAAAGAAACCAAGAAGTAGAAGCACAAGTGACAATAAGAGAAGAAAGAGAGAATGCGAATTGGGGATAAGATAATTTGTGTTAGTAGCGTGCGATTATTAGGTTATGACATGTGAGGTCAGGTTAAACAAGTGTGAACACAAGAGTCAAATGTGGATTTCGCAATAATCAATATTTAAAAGACAAGAAATCTACATGTGTAGATGGAATAGACACATGTGAAGATGTTAGTTCCACAATGCACCGTTACACAACTAACAGAAAGACAAGAAAGAATGATAGAATGAAATGAGAGTGAATAAGAGAAAGATTAGATAGAAATGTCCAAAAGTAAGAGCCACGCATAATTTTGCATCCAAAGAGGCAAAGGATGAAAAATCAAGATTGACGAAGAGGAGAATATATGTGGTTTACGAGAGAGTGATAAAGAGACAAGAACAAGAAAGAAAGGAATAATGAAGAACACATAACGCGAAACCGAGAAAAAACCCAGAGCCGCAATTGCGTGGTGCAATTCATCGCACATGCTGGCCATCTTCTATTCTGGCGGGACCAGTATCTCTCTCAAGCATATTGTGGAGCGGCTAAAGACCGCGCTTGCGACTGCAACGCATGTGGCTAGAGCATGATAAGGATGCATGCTACACACAAACGTCGCTTGTGGACTGAAGTGCGTCAATGACGACTTGCAAATGGGGATAAAGACTTGGCCTTTCGGGGAGGCTGTATCTTCGTAGGCGATGTGGAAGGCTTACGTCTATGAGACGTTCTTGTCTGCTAAACTATCGGTGTGCGATCATCTTTAGCGCGGATTTTTAAACGATATAGAGGCCTAGATAGAGGCCTCTTGAGGATGTTTCCATTCGGCACTCGTACCTCTGTTATTCTCACGCTATCATATTACTACCACATAGTCGAAACACAATTCCCATCTTCCATTGTCTTCTGGGCACATTGTCCTCCGCAATAATCACGAGATCGTTTACTTGTGGATGTTCAGGCGTATATCTCGGCTGGCGTACACGGCATTGATGGCATTGGATAAGGGCAGAGAGGTAATCGGATGCCACACTTCCCAGAAAGAATCTAGAATAATCCGGGTTTCCCTATACCAGTCTGCTAGTCTATGTCCATCGACCAATGTCGTGATCCTGTTCTTGCGAGGGTAGCTGTAGACTGACTTTCGGCGAACTGAAGTCGACTGGTAGTAAGATGCGGAAAGAAACGTCCTTCTCCTGTAAGGTGTTATAGGTCGAGATTTGATGAGAGCTTCATCTCCACAACTATCGTCCGCAGTTGTTAGCATGTCAGTCTCGACTTTCCTACAGTCTTCTTGAATGCGGACTTAAACAGGGCAACTAGTCTCCCATAGAAACTTTTTTTCCAGGGGGAGACTGGAGTAATGAACTTAGTGACAAAGTCGTATATATCATTCCTACAGTGAGGAGCGCAAAATGTTAGTTTATAGCATCCTCTGCCGCGCGGAATGTACTCGCTTGTCACTGTAGATGACGTCTGGTGTTCCTCGTCGTCCCACAAATCTTCGAAAGGCTAGTAGGAAGTCCTGGGTAGAGCAAGGAACTGACAACCTCGAACTAAACCGCTCTCGTAGCCACACAAGTGATCAAACAAATTCATGCCTTTGCTTTCATTCCGATGTTGTCTCTATCGGCGATTGGTCCTTGATAATCCAAACCTATGTTCTGAAATGGTCTGGATCTCCTTACTCGCTCTTTGAGCAACCTGCGCACATCCGGATAACGGTATGCTGGACCATTGGCTTTATTGCAAACGACACATGTGCGTAAAATCCTATCCACTGTACGGCGTGTAGATGGTATGAAAAAGCGTCAGCACAATTGGCTATCGTCCCATAAATGCCTTGATGGTAAGAAGTAAAATGGGTATAGAGTACAATGAGAGACGTTAGCCTGTGGGATGGCACCAGTAATATGGGTGCTGTGCGGTAAGCCTTCTCCATATGAGCAGGACATCTTATTAGTCCGTTCTAGTCACAATGCGTACTGAATCGCTGGACTCGAAAACGTTCCAAAAGATGACGATTTACGATAATGTTCACGAATAACCAAATTCTCGACTAAGGCAATGTCTTGTGCCGTTATGTTACCGGCAGGCGAAATTTGAGATAAAGTTGGAATTGCACTGTAGAGAAATGTTGCCTACTCGCGAATGTGAGACGCTCGACAATCCTACGACTCATAAATCTAAGGATGTAAACGGTAATCCGCAAAAGCTTCATGTAACCGTTCGTGGCGAAGAATGGAATAACCGAAACATGCGAATCATCTCTAATCAATGATACCTGTGTGAACTCCTTATCCTGTTCCGCAGTTGTTACGGGCGGAATCGTAAAGTCCATATCGTCATTGGGTCAATCTTTAGGAGGTCGACGAATGAACGATGGTCAGGTCCACTAAACATGACCCGCAGCTTCCTTCGTCGCTAGACTGCGCGTAGCATGATCGGCTGGATTATCCTGGGAAGCAACATAGTGGAATTTGACGTCGATACCTAAATCTTGAAGCTGTTTTATAGCCTTACAAGTGAAGATTACTCAATTATGGACAGGTTATCTCAGTGGCCTGGTGGAGTGGATCCAATAGAGCACAATCTGGGAGTCTGAAAAATGTGAATGGACGAAATGTTAAGGTCCACTTCTTTTTGCAGGTATTTGGCTAGAGAGACACAGTTTCTGGCTGCCAACAGTTCCATCCTTGATATGGTGATTGGTGTAGGCTCGCTAACGTGCGTTTTCGCCATGATGAGGTGTGAAGTAGTCGTACTGTGAGCTCGGCTTACCAAATATGCGCAAGCACCAAACACTCGTTTGAAAGCATCTCCGAAGATGCACAAATCGACTGTATGTACACTGCATGTGGTTACTCGTCTAGGAAGGGGTGGTAACGGATTTTGTACGTCATGACAGATACGTCACCACTCCTTTTGCATTTCCTTGTCCAATTGATCGTCCCATCCAAGCTTTTTGAGCCACAAATTCCGTACGAATAGCTTGAAAGGAACCATAAAAGGAATCCTAGAGGGTCACATGTGGATGCGTAAGCTCTAAGAGCTGTACGTTTCGATACTACTGGGTACTCCAAGGTCCTGATGTGTATAGCGAACGTGCCCCGTTCAGGCGACCATGTAATTCCCAATAGCTTCGTGTGGTCTGGTTCCTTGGCACGGTCCTTTGGTTCTATCTGTTTATTAACTATCCTCGATGAGCACAAGAATTCCCTCAAATTCATGTGCATGTGGTCGAATATGGATTTCACTGTCCTGTACTTCTGCAGCGTTTCGTCACGCGAAGAAGCACCGAGGATGACGTTGTCCACATACGTATTTCCCTCAATCTCTGGAAGAGGTGAGCTGATGTAACGAAGATAGATCCTAATGGCCAATACAAATGGGGATGACTTGGCACCGAATGGGATCCTTGTAAAACGAAAATAACGCAAGTTATCCTTGTCTGGAGTTGTATTTACATCGTTCGACCACAGGAAGCGTGTCACATCTCGTTGAGAGACTTGAAGTCGAACCTGAAGGCTTTTTCGACGTCGGCGATAAGAAGGTAGTTGTGTAGCCTTGCTCGAAGTTGAATTCCTGCTATCTCCGGCAATAAACATGGTCCTTTGTGGAGGCAGTCGTGCAAAATTGGAAAATTTCTTATGTGCGAAGAAGCATGGAATACTGTTCTCAGCTTGGTGGTAGCTGAAGACTCCTTAAAGACGGCTTGATGCGGGATGTAGTAAACGAGATGACTGTCTGCAAAGCGTTCGCTTACTTCCTCAATGAAGACTAATTGTAGACGTTGTTCTATGGCTAAACAGTAATCCTTTCATACCGACGGTTGTTCACGTAACCTCTGGTACTGACTGACTAGTCGGCAATAAGCTGACTGTTTATTGTCGCCTAGTTGGGAATGTGACTCTTTCCAAGGAAACTGTACGTAAAGGAACCCATTCGCAAAACATGTGATGTCTTCAAGTGCTTAAGAATAAGAGAATTGTGGATAGTGTCTTCGTCGTCATGTGGATCATCTTTAATACCCAAGCGTTCTAATTGCCACAATCTGGCAACGATGTCTTTGTCTTCGTTTCCTACTGTTGACTTGTCGCTCCCGGTGGATGTTGACACGGGGCAGACTTGCGGAAAAAAGATCCTGTAACCTAGTATGCGTCAAAAACTAATCCTGACGGAAGACAAACGGAAGATCCTTGAATAATAATATCCCAGAAATAATCGATACCTATAAGGACATAAACGCAAACTCTCGTGGCATCGTTGTACGCAGGGATATTGAATCCGTACTGTTTAATGAACTCATGTCTTTTGTGGATAGTT